ATCCTACCTACTCGTCCGTCGTCCTCCTCCCTCCTCCACCTTATCCTCGATCATGCCTCGATGTCTTGTCCTCCCTACTCCTTCCCCCTCCTCCACCTCGCTCCTCGTCGTCCCTCCTCCTCGATCCGCTCCACGGTTGATAATCACCATCATCATCAGAAAAAGTGGGCAATGTGTATGTCTTCCCTTATTCCGTTCAGCCTCCATGCTTCTTCCTCCTCCCTCCTCGTCATCGTTCCTGTCCTCCCTACTCCGCCTTCCTCATCCTCGCAGACACATGTGTCTATTTTTGTGAGTGTTGTCCTGTTTGCTCTACACAACTCCACATAAAAGCATGACTCTGGTAGACTGTTTCCTCGGACTTTCACCCTGCGCATCAGTCGCATATGGGCTTGTCTGTGGTGTGTGTGTGTGTGTGTGTGTGTGTGTGTGCGTGTGTGTGTGTGTGTGTGTGTGTGTGTGTGTGTGTGCGTGCGTTGTCATGTTCTCTATACACAATTTCACAAAGGAAAGCTGCAACCCAGTTGTCCACCACATGGCAGCAAGACTGAATGTGATGTGCCTGCCTTTCTCGCTGCCTATTGTCAGGATGGTGGACTCTCTTGGGGCATGCTGTGATACGGTGAGGGATGAAGCTGGTATTTGCTGTCGAAGTGGCATCTTGGACGAGTGCTTAGTATGTGATGGGGATGGCAGCAGTTGTGCCACAAAGGTTTCCGCCACCATCACGGTGGAGAGCATAGATATCATCAACAAACATCTTTCATTTGCCAGCTCATACGTTGAGAGCCTCATTCTCCTCAAGGTAAAGAATCATACTAGGTACGTTACGAGCTTTGTCCTTCTCCAAGGTATGTGATTCTTGGTTTGACAGACTGTAATTTCAGACCTTTTTCTTCAGCAAAAAGTTGAAAAAACATGAGCTGCATTAGTTGTGAGAGGTAGCTATGCTTAAAGGGGTCCCCTGTATATAAGCTTAGTAGTTGTGGTAGGTAGGTAGTGAAAAGTGAAATTGAGAGAAGAATTAAACAAAATAACTGTTTATTTCCGTTTTTTTTTTTTTTTTTTTTTTTTTTTTTTTTTTTTTTTTTTTTTTTTTTTTTTTTTTTTTTTTTTTTTTTTTTTTTTGTCCTGAGCATTTTTTTTTGTGGATGATCTTTTTTTTTGACTTGGACGTTACTTTGACTTACTCTGTTGTAGGAGTGAAACTGCAACATACATCGTATCTGGTCACTCTGTTGTAGGAGTGAAACTGCAACATACATCGTATCTGGTCTGAAGGTCCGCCTTCTTCAGGACCCTATCAAAGGAAGGTACCAGTAGGTGTCCATATCTGTTTTTCTTCGATACATCGTATCTGGTCTGAAGGCCCACCTTCTTCAGAACCCTACCCGATGGTGAGGTAATGGTCTAAGTAGTTTTCCAGGTCAGTCTAATCTCAAATGCAGCCAGACGTGGCGTCGGGTTGACGCTAACCTATGCGCCAGTTCTTCATGTTCACTTTTGTATTCGCGTAACCTGCACTCAGATTAATTTTCTATAATAAAAAATAATAAAAAAAAAAAATCAAGATTCAAATCCTCGCTCCAGGACGTGGCGAGAGAACCTTCCAAAGGGGAGCCAACTTGTCGTGATGTGAAGGTGCCAACTTGTCGTGATTCGAAGGGGCCACCTTGATCGTCATCCGGGTAATAAATCCATTGCATTGTACATCCGAGTCACCACAAACGTTGTCTGTTTTAGTAACCTTTTACTGTTTGAGAGTAAACTACCAATCAGGAGAGCAGAAAGGGAATGGATTTAATAAGTGCTAGTATTGCAACTACAGACTGATGGTTCTCAGAAGTTGTGCTTCTTGAAGGAGTTCACTGCAGGCTTGCATCACAGAGTATTGACAATTGAAAGTTCACGCTCTTTGCTGCTGAACGCTTCGCTTCAAACAGATTGGCCAACTTGTTGGAGTTGATTATGGAGCAGTCACCATGGACAGCATTGGCGTAAAACCAGTTTACTCTGAAGAAGGCTTTGCCATCGATTTCAACTTTACGATCTCAGCTGTTGGGGTAATATGCATCCAAAGATCCTCTTTCATTCCTGAGCTCATACAACATCTCCAAGACCGTCTTCACCCGAATAGAACGCCTGGTCATTACAGCTGTATATGGGGATAACTTTCAGACCAGATGTAGCGATAATGACTGGGCGTTTTATTCGAGTGAAGAGGGTAACCTCCTGCCCCACGCTTTATGCAAGAGCCTCCAATACTTCAGGCCCTGCTGGGATCAGTTCAATTGCTCCTTCTCCCAGACATTCAGTAATTGTTTTTTCTAACAAAACCCCCATTCCCATCTGGGGAGAGAGAGTTCAGTTTCTCTTCCATTGGAAAACCAGGCCAAAAAACAACTCACAACCCAGGCGATGAGGCTGGCTAGGACATCCACAAACAGTTGATAAACAGCGCTGAGTTCAAATCCTCATCAAATCCGATGAATATAATAACCCTGACTTAGAAACACTGGACCCAGTTGCCAGAAGGTGGCATGGGTAACCCGTGACATGTCTACTATGGGGAGCTGCTCATATCACTCCTCATAGTAGCCCCGACCGATCTTGCTGTTAAAAAAAAAAAGAAGAAGCTTAAGCCCACATGACACGTCAAGGGCATTGCCCCTTCTGAAAAGGAGGAAAGAGGAAAGGTTTTCAACTTTTCAATAATATGAAAAAAACAACAACTCCTGCAATCCTTTCCCCCAGTATGGGGAGAGGAACCGATGACAGTATTGACTAATCCCAACAGTGAAGATAATTATTGAAAGGATTTCATGTCTAAATCAAGTCCCATTTCCCGGTCCCAGGGAGTCCCAATGGTTCCAATCCCATGTACAATAGCCGAACTGACAAGCCCAGTGGCTGAGACACCGATTCAGACCTAGGTCGTTCGATGTCGTAGGGTCATTATGAGTCCGGTAGGTCTGGTACCGGACAGAAAACATTCAAGTCTCAGTCTAAACTTAGCAGCAGCATCCAAGGAAGGCCTGGTGATTTCCAGAACGAGCAATTGCAGCCAATATGCCCTGTGGGAGCGTTACCGGTTTGGAGTCGACAAAGATTGTCAATGGCAGCTGCTATAAAGGCAGCTACAGTACCTGGGCGGCTCACTTGTCAACTGGCATGTTGTAGAGAAGTGCTGCTGAATGGTTTAGTGGAGCTGTGAATGGATGTATTGTACATCAGCTGAGCCCCTAGACAGATGTTTGTCCCAGTCCTGCTGATCAGGTGTGATCACAGGCTGCAGCATCTGAAATAAGATCTGGTTCATCATTTCGGTCTATCCATTGGCCTCACGATGTCTGCCAGAAGTCATATCAAGCCTAGAATGGAGGTAGTCTTGACAATAGGACTGCCACTCATCGCTGCAAAAACGCGGGTCTCTGTCACTCACGATAGAGGTTGGGTGCCCATGAACACTCACCCATCTCTCAAAGAATACCTCTCTAATTAGAGCAACTTTAGCTTCGGATGGTAAGGAACCCAACATACTCAGAGAAACGATCAACACAAACAATTACCTGTCTCATCCCATGAAGAGTGGTCTTACCAAGGTCAATAAAGTCAATGGACACATACTCGCCTGGACCATCAGAAATGGGTAAAAGTTTGAGCAGTCCTATAGGAGGCCACCTACAAACGTTGTTCCTTTGGCAGAACTCACAGGTTTTTAGGTACTTTAGTACATTCTTTTTTCATCTTGGACTGGTAGAAATGTTGGATCAGGGCAGCATAAGTCCTTAGAAACCCAAAATGCCTGCGAGCATTATGACACTCGGAAATGAGGTGAGTGATGATTTTTTTTATTTTTTTTTTAATACAAACCAGTGGCCTTGCTAGGAGAGGTGGTACAAGCACTCCCTCCTAGCAAGAGTCCTGGGTGCTCCGGTCTATTGGTCGGGAGCAACACCTGCTGGAAAGCGGGTCCAGCGTCCCACTATACATAACAAGGCCTGCCAGCACTGATTGCCCTGTTTTCAGGGGATTGACTGCACAGGGTTAATGATAGATGTGTTGGACCACAACACACTTTGGGAAGTTTGGGGTGTGGGGCCGCCTCTTCGGTCTGCACCAGACCGCCAGATCACTATCGTTTCCCTAGCAGCCACGCCCTGCTTCTTCTGAACAGAACAGCCTCCCATGACTAGCTACCAGCCCGAACTATAGTGCTCGTTCATGCAGTCATTAGGGATGCACAAACGTCCCTCCCCCTCGTTGATTGTGTACAGCAGGCCTGAAGTCAAGGCATAGCCTGACTGAGAATTGGGATACGTTTGTGGATTCCTAACAATAGGGCCGAAGATAGGGTCTGGAGGCATCTGCAATGACCTGCCTAGTAGAATCTTCAAATGAGTAAGTCTACACAATAGCGGCAAAAGTGTCAGGCCTACGAGGAAGTGCATCAACCACTTGGTTATAATACCCCTTCTTGCGTTTCATTTCATAGTTGAAAGCATTAATGAGCCGAATATATCTCCCCAACTTGTCATTCAACTCCCCGCGGGTCTTCATCCATTGTGGGAGTGATCTGAATAAATTTTGAACCGTCCTCCCAGGAAAAAGTGTTTCAACTTTTTGAGAGCACACGCAAGGGCATACAATTCTTTCTTATAGGTGGATGTCTGAATACGTTGCACCTTGATTTTCTTACTCATGAATTTTACAGGTCTTAGGTCAATCCCATCATCTTGCTGAAGTAGATTACCAACTCCATACTGACTTGCATTCGTTGTCATTGGTCAACACAAATGGCAAGGTAGAGTCAGACAGTTGCAACACAAGTAAGGACTTTCTTTAGTCAGGAAATGCCAATTGACATGTGGGTGCCCATCTGAAGTGGACACTCTTAGCCAGCACATTAGTTACAGGAGTGACTATAGTAGAGAAGCTCTTGATGAACTTCCTATAGTAGAAGGCCAGACCCATGAATGACCAAATGTCTTTGACTATCTGTGGTTGTGGTCATTCCCTAACAACAGTCACCTTAAAGACTTTTATGTTCTCTCTGAATTGCAAAATCTTTCGAAGATTATCAGCATGTTCCTCAACAACCTTGCTGGACACTAGGATGTTATCCATGTATGCAAAAACAAAAGGTCAAGGAAATATTGAAAGATCTTATTCGTTTCAGTCTGAAACGTACTCGGGGCACTGCAGACATTGAAGGGCATGACTAGGTACTCATAGGTGCAATGCCGGATTTTAAAGGTTGTCTTATGCACATCCTCCTCAACCATTTCGATATGATGATACCCGGTCTTCAGATCAATTTTGTTGAAGGTTTTGCAGCCTTGCATCATATCTAAAAGGTCATCTATCTTAGGCAAGGGCTCTGAGCTCTTCCTATTGATCTTATTCAGGCCTCTGTAGTCAATGCACATTATGAGCTCAGCATTCCCGTTTGGAACAAAGAGTTTTTCGAACTGGTGTTGCACCAGGTGCGACAATACTTGACAAAGTGTTTACCGTCATGCTTGAGGCGAACCCCATCATTCATTCTCTTTTGCAAGAGACCCTCAGGGATCTTCAGATCTCTCCATGGAAAAGAGGCAGGATCCATGAGATTAGTTGAACGCATAGCAAGCTTTTGAAGGTTTTGTCTTTGCTGGCCATTGGGGTGTTTGCCATACCCCTTATAAGAAGCAGACTTTTGGGATTGGAACTGACTTGAGCCTCTAGCAAGGCTCATCAGTGCCTGGCCCAAAATCAGAGCAGCGTGATTTGTTGATGATCCTGCATCTTGACCAGCTGAGGGAGCAGTTCCCCCCTGGCCAGAGCTTGCAGAGTCGTCATCAGACTCCAAAAAATACATCCTCCCTTTTCCCTTTTTCCTGCCCTGAGAAGAAGAAGTGGTTCCCATTTGGGAATTAGTCTGAACCCGGAGTCCCCGGCTGCTTTGCCAAAAGACCGCCAGTCCTTGTAACCAGCAACATGCAGGGCACGAACGTAGATTCTGGGGCAGCTCAAGTAAACCCTGTCTCTTATACACATCTAGATGTGTATAAGAGACAGGAGCAGAAAGGTCTGGCTAAAGCAAGCAGACATGAAGCATCCGAACTATCTATTGCTATAGTCCTCCGGCTTTAAGGCCTGTAGACAGTGTAGAGTGAAGGTGTGTAGAAGTCAAAGCTCCATAAATTATTTCACATAATAGAATGTTTCAATAAACGAGTTTTTCTTTAAATTTTAAAAGGAATATGCTTTCCAATAAATGAAGAAAACTTTTATCACATTTCGCTCATAAAGTAATAAAAACAAAACAAAAAAAAATGTTGAACCCTAAACCCTAAACCCTAGCAAGAAACTGTGCCCTCATAATAGCCTCCCTTTACACACATTTACATGTGAGTGGCACAACCTGTATGCACATAAAGCCATAACCATGCAAAAAGAGGGAGGGAGACAGCAAGCTGAAACGATGAGCTGATTCATTCAGAACCTCGGTTTGAAAATCCTTCATGATTGACAAAGGGATACAGAACTTGTGTCAGGGCCTTTAGACTAGACCCCAAGCATCCTCAGGCTATCCAGATCAGACCTCCCCCTAGCTCCCCCTTCCTCGCTCCCCAGTACATTGTAAACTGAAAGCAATCCCCCATCTACTACATGCAATGTAATTTGTCGTTTGCAGCATTTTTGTACCCTCAAAAGCAACAGGTGAAAGAGGGAAGCGTAACCATCTCACGCTGGATTTGTGCTGTCCATTTATGAGAACAGATGATCAAAGGTGCCATTGCCCGACAGCAGGCGAAAATTCAGGAGGCTCTAGAAAAAGCAATCACACCTGCTCGACCAATTTCTTTTGCTTTCACAATTAACCCTAATCAGGTTAGTGGCACTACATCGGCCTCCAGAAGAGGCTTCACTACATCCGTCCTTCCTTCCTGCCTCGCTTCCTTCGTTCTTTCCTTTCTCTGTTAACCACCGTGCCTCCCACCCTCACTCCCTCACTCCCTCACTACCTACCTACCTCCCTTCCATTCTCACTTTTCTGCTGCCTATGTAAATACCCACCCACCTATTTGTGTCTCCTTTCCTCAGTTTCCTGTCCTTCCTTGGTTACCTTACTACTCCATCCGAGTCCATCATCCCCTCTGTTGATCCAACCAGGAATGCAGAAAAGTGAAATAAACAGGGTGTTTGTTATTGATTCCCTCCCCACCTGCTTCTGCCCTTCTTTTTTCTCTTGCGTTTCGCCCACACTTGGAGGAGCAGCAAGCAATTTCTATTGATGTGATGGCAGTGATCGAGCAGCATGTGGCGCTTGACGAAATACCCAGGAGTTGTTGAGCTTGCACGCACGGAGGCCTGTTGATACTGACGAACACAAAGAGTGCAACCCTCGCCAACGAGAGCAGATGTTTTGTCACTAGCACAGCATCCCATCACACCAATACCCATGCTCAAGCAGCTCAACTCAAAGCCCTCCATATAATCATGGCTCACTCTCCCCAAGAACGCAAATTTCCAGCACAAAATCTTGGCAGCGTAGTGCCGTTTAACCAGTTTCGTCCGTGTGCTCACGGACACTTCAGGAAGGTGTACCCACTGACATTAGAGTATTTCTGCCAAGAGAGAGACCTTAGGCCCAGTCTCAAGTGCTATATCAGTGTCAGCCTTGGCTCATCCTAGTCAGATATCTCCTACACATGACTGGCATCTGTATCTAGTCCCAGATCCCAGTCCCTATACATCCATCTCCTGTGCATATCCGAAGTTCAGTTGGCAGTAGGGCTATCATATGTGATATGCAACAGATTGCATCGAGCTCGCTCCCGTTGGTCTGTTGTCCAACGACTTTGCTGTTCAGTCCATTCGGATGTGGGTGTCTGAAGACCAGAATACATAAATGAACTACAATAAAATGAAACAAAAAAAAAAGAAAAAGAAAAAAAAGAAACAAAAGTGATCCGGGATCCGGACGGTCCGGTTATCTGGGTTTGGGCCCGGCGTCTGGTCCGGTACGTCCCAGATTGGGTCCGATTTATAGAAATTCAAAAATTATTTTGGGGGGCTTAGCACATGTTTCCGGTCCTAGGCCACCCCCAAAAAATGGCCCCGGTATTGTTTGGCCGTTTCAGGGCCCACCAGACGCCGCCAGACACCTCCAACAGCTTCTTGTGCTGCTGCTGTTCGACGGGGGAAGGCCTAGGCGTGGATCCGAGTTTCGAATCCGTTTTTCCCTCCGCTGTGATCATTTGGCCCCACCAGAACGCTGCTGTCGAGATGCTGCCTTCGTCGAAGTCGCCCTGCAAGGAGATCGTGCCCGCCATCGCTGCTGCTGAGCTGCAAGGAGATTCCGCCCGCGATGAAATTGGTCGCCCACCCGGAAAACAGCACCCACAGTCAGGTCTCTCTCTCTCTCTCTCTCTCTCTCTCTCTCTCTCTCTCTCTCTCTCTCTCTCTCTCTCTCTCTCGACGGGGCAACAATGGGAGTAGGCTGAGGAGGGGCAACGCGGAGGGGGACAACGATTTAGGATGAGTGGTACGACGATCGATGTCTGGGCAATGGGGAGGAGGGGGAGGATGAGTGGACGACGACGAGCGATGTCTGGGCAACAATGGGAGTAGGCTGAGGAGGGACAACGCGGAGGGGGACAACGATTTAGGATGAGTGGTACGACGTCATCGTACCACTCATCCTATGATAGCAGAACGAGCTTCTCGTGTATGACGAGGGGCAACGGGAAGGAAGAGTGTGTGTCAACGAGGGGCAACAGTATGAAGCTGTCAAGTTCTGAAAAGTGAAAGACAGTTGCCCGCAACAAGGTAAGTTCTAAGTTTTGTCCCCTTACGACTTGCGTTCATTTCTGTTTAATAGTATTTAATAATACTGTTTATTAAACTTTATTTGTAATTTATTACCGCATAATGTTTCTCTTCGTTGTGCAACATCGTCGTGAATGCAGCATTAGCTCAAGCCTTCATTTGAAAAAAAAAAAAAAAAAAAAAACTCTATTATGTTTCTTTAACTTTCTTAGTAATTCTTACACTTGTTTTTTGTTTGGTTTTTCTGGTCCAGACAATTTTTTGGATCTGCTGAACCGATTTGGATGGCCCGGGTCCGCTCCTGTCCGGTGGTCTGGTACCTGTCCAGATTGCCAGACTTCTGGACGAGTCCAGACGCGTGTTCGGACGTTTGTGCGGATCGGTCCGGTGTCCGAGTCCGAGGTTACCATGAAACTGATACACCACGCAAACACCGTAGCGCAGCCTGTAGAGCCTTCGATGCGTAGACGTGGTGGTTTACACGATTTCGGACCGTTAAGGTTGCGTGTTTGTATTGTCGAAATGCGGCAGGGCCAAGCCGGTACAGACCTCCGTTCAACCCATGAACATCTGAAATATAGAACTAAGGGCCTCGCCACACAGCCTGTCGAAACGCGAAAACGACAAAAATGTGGCAGGTGCATCTGGCCATGTTCTAGCGTGAAGTTCATTCTCGTTTTGCACATTTCGACAGCCTGTGTGGCGAGGCCCTAAGTTCGCCAGCTATGGACAGCTGTGGGGGAGGGTGGGCTACAACCCCCGCCCCCCCCCCAACACACACACACCTCCGCAATGCTAGTGTCGCTGAAGCTCAGGGCAAACTCACATGAGGACTTCTCTGCCAATTTGTGCAGGTGATTGCGGTCATATTCATAAAGTGCGTAAGGAAAGTGCTAGTCTGAGGATGCCCTCAGTCGATGCACCTATGGACTGTTAGAAATGCAGAACTCAGCTCGAATCTGTCTCTTATGTTCAGCTGTGGGTGAAGTGGGGCTACACCTGCCTCCTTCCAAACCTCTCCCCCCCGCCTTTTTTTTTTTTTTTTTTTTTTTTTTCCCAAAACAACCCGATCGTCTGCTAGGGGTGCTGATAGGAACAGACACGACAACCTCTTCCCCCTTCGTGTAGGCTTTGGCGAAGGTCAGGGCGCACTCGCACCAGTACTTTTTCTGTGAATTTGTGCACATGATTGCAGTCAGATTCATCACCAGTCCGCTGATGCAATCAGCTACATTTATGAAAGTGCTAGCTAGTGTGAGTATGCTTTCCGTCAATAGACCCATGAACTGTTAAAATACCGACTTGAGTTCGAATCCATGTGCCACGTTCAGGTGTCAGCTTCGCCAGTTGTCTCGTCAGCTCGATGGTGATGCCCTCAAGCCTGTTGCCCCCACTCGCCCTGTCCTGGATGTATGTGACCTCTATTTTTCCCAAGGGGGGGTCTCAAAGGCCCTAGATCGGGAATTAAAGAATAGGACAATTTGGACCCAGCACTTGAATCTGGACATATTTATAGATATAAATAGAACAATGTTAATTCATCTTTTTTATTTTCTTATTTCTTTATACTTAATATTCTCTTATTTCTTTATACTTAATTTATTGTATGCAGAACGGTCTGGCCAGACTGGTTGGAGACACTCGAAGAGACTCGCCAGAGTCGTAACTGTATGATATCGGGCGACTTTTTGCCCACATACATGGAAAAGACAGGGCTCAAAGGAAAACAAGGGGAAAAAAAACAAAGAACAAGAAGATATTCAACGAACAGTGGAACACATGTGACACATGAGGGTAAAGCACTTGTATGATTGTATCTACTATCTGTATGTGTATTAAGCCCACATACACAAGAAGCTCGTTCTGCTATCATACGAAAATAGACTGGATGCCACAGAAGAAAGCAACAAAAAGGGCAAAAAAAAAAAAAAGAAATACCTGCGGCCGCTTCAGGTTTTTAATTTCAAAGGGTGAAAAAAAAGTAAAAATACTAAAAATAGCAGTGTGGTCACTTCCCAACGTTCGGAAGGCTCCTCCAACCCCAATCCTTCTTCTTTTTTTTTTTTTTTTCGGGGGGGGGGTGTGGGGGGGAAGGGTGGTTAACTAGGGCGTAGAGAGGATTTCAGTTTAAACTTTAAAATCCCCTCGAATACAAACAACGGTAACAACCCCACCCGACCGTAAAGCTAGGTTGTATACATTCACGATTTTCCTCACTTTGGCTGCTTTGGCACAACATTCGCGAAGCCGTGACTCAAGCGCATTTTCAAACTGAAAACGTGACAGCGCCCCAGTTTTCACTTCTTTTTTTCTTCTTCGAAAACCGGTATCGACTGCTGTGCGGGGTGATAAGAGCATGCCCACCTCCCAGCACCCCGGCTGCTCCATCTATTGCTCCAACCCCAATCCTGTTGCACCCTTCTTCTTCTTCTTCTTCTTCTTCTTCTTCTTCTTCTTCTTCTTCTTCTTCTTGTCCTGTTGACGATGTGATAACAGGTTCCAATGATGAAACTCCCCTCTACCTCCTTATTTCTTCTTATTCCCATCGCGCACTGATTCAGATGTGACCTTGGCGCCCCTTTCATCATCCTCTCCGCCTCCCTCCTCCTCCTCCTCCAACCCCAATCCTGCTGTGCCCTCAACGTCGCACAATGACGCTCTCCCCCTTCACATACACATGCGCGCACACAAAATCAGTTTGTTTGTTTTTTTTTTCCAGAAATCTTCTTAATTTTAAGAAATTTAAAATTTTAGAAATGGTCCGGAGAGACAATTCCAATGGACCAAATTTACCAAACGCCTTCGGAAACTATAGGAGATGGTCACCACCCCTGCAGCACGCTCGTGGAAGCAAACTCTGCTCTGAGTCTTCTGACCCCTATCCTTTTTTTTTTTTTTCTTACATCATGCTATCTGACATCTCAATGTCAACATTTACGCAAACCATGTGATCATTGTGATGTTTCCTAGAGACCCTGAAGTTCCTGAACTGTAAAGTCACCCTTTTTTTGAGTACAAGGGTAATGTTTGTGATTGAACAAGAGAGACTCCAAATCTCGTGCTGCACGTTCTCCCATGCAGAGGGCTCACCATGCAGATTGACAGCCTTTGTTGCTAAGGCGCCAACGATACGAGGACAGGCGTCCTTATCGTAGGCATTATCCCCATGATTAGAGTATATACCAGATACTTGCATGATGAGCACTCATTGATCCCCTCTGCTGGAATCACAGCTCTCTCTGCACGCATCAGGCGATCATTGATTGATCGGCTCATGATCATCCATGCACCATTCAGATCCGCCACACAGAATCAGTTTTATCATTTTATGCATTTCTTCCCGTGTTTTCTGTGTCCGTGTGAGCACCTATAGGAGTGCTACACAGTCGGTGGACGGTTATTTGGAATGCCTGCAGTATCTGTAGGGGGGAGGCACTCTGTTTGTGATGTCTGTGGTCAGCGTGATGCACATGGTCTACGGGTGATGATAGATGTCCGTCGGAGTCACTGTGGCTTCCTGACCCGGCAGGTGGCGGGAACCAACAGCGCACGGGTGCTACAGTAGTGCGAGTCGATGATGCATGATCGCTTTGGTATGTGTTGGACATGTGGACTGCCTCGTCAGCGCTCGCTCTGCCTTGCTGCCCACCCGCTTGCGATGTCTTTCCCTTCAGCTTGTTGTCTGCCGCGTAGTTCAGTTGCCATGCTAGTGTTGCTGTGTGCTTCGCTGCGCTGCTGCGTGCACAATCTTGCCATGCAGTTTGCTTGTGTGTGGTATAGTTTGGCTTTTATGCCAGTGCCGTCTTGTGTGTTGGCTTTAATGCCAGTAGTGCTGCCTTTTGTGTTGGCTTTTATGCCAGTGCTGCCTTGTGTGTCACTGTCTTGTGATGTCATTCCAATGCAGTTAACCATGGCGTGGTGTAGTTGGGCGGAGCTGGTAAAGTTGCCTGGTGCTTGGCTGAGTCATTGCCTTGCTGCCATGTTATACGGAGATGCTGGCAAGGAGCCCACTTCCAACAGGGGTTAAAATAATCGATGACTCAAATTATGAGGATCCCGCAGATACTGTTGAGGGTTCAGCATCCTGATGAGTCGGTACAAGTCCAACGTAACAATCCATCATCATCAGGTTTTTTTTTCTGTTGTTTTTGGTACTTGTGCTTTCTCTTCTTTCTTTGTTCGTGTGCTTGTGTTGGCTTTTCATGTTTGCAGTTCTTCCTTGGGTATTCCATGTGCTAATGTGTGTGGTGTGTTTTACGCCGACGTCCCTTGCTCGTATTATTTATCACCTTTAATGCACTACTACCAGTGTTGCACACCCCGACCGTCGGCGACCCTTGACTGGTTGACTGCCGACCCACCGCCCGGTCGGCTGGTCGGCACCTACCGGTCGGGGGTCGTCGGCACTTCGGTTTTTTTTTTTTTTTTTTTTTTTTTTTGGGTCCAGAACCCCTAATAACCCCACCAACACCCCCGCCCCCCCCCCCCCCCCCCCCCCCCCCCCCCCCCCCCCCCCCCCCCCCCCCCCCCCCCCCCCCCACCCCCCCCCCCCCCCCCCCCCCCCCCCCCCACCCCCCCCCC